AGTCATTTAAATTAGCTCGTCTTCCCCATAGAAAATTTGTGATCTTCGGCTTTCGTCCTCGAAATATCATCTGATCATCATTGAAAATTATTATCTGAACCTCATGCAAAATATCCTAGCCATCAGAACTACATTTCCGCTCTCTAGTGTGGTAACAGTAAAACTAAACAATATATGAATATATTGACCCTGCTAAAGGGTAAGTTAAGTATAACTCTTGCTTCCGGGTACGTGCATCAATATAATGGGTATAAAGTTATAGTATATAATATATACTATCACATTCTCGGCTCTATATCCTTCAGGCTTAAATATATACACAAGTCTGGATTCATTTGACCCGCTAAATATGGACCGTGATGTTCAGGTCATGTGGCCTCTAGAGTGACCAGAAAACAGACAGAAATAAAGTTTTTGGTCCATTTAATTCCTTAATAAAAACCTATAATTTCCAAAAATAGGTTCTTCTCTGTCCAGAATCCGTCCTATATACTAAATTTTGTGAGTGACGATGGGTCCATAACTGTAGCCTGTATCATGTTTACTAATTATAATGTTCAGACGGATGGACACACATGTCTAGATCGACTTATCGATATGATATCACAGCGGTTTATTAAAGGTGGGTCTAAAACCAATATTTCGCGGCGTTGCAAGCTCTTGGAACAACGCAAAGCAGTAGGATATACCAATTGGACGGGGTGGACTATGTTACCTACAGTAATCTACATAGTGGTTACAGCAGCAATTTAATCAATTTTAACAACATTTTCTTTCTAAAATTTCTAAAAAAAATGTTCCCTTCTACTATCGATTGTCTGCAATTAGGTATTTGATTTGCTAAGGGCATACCATGGTATAATAATAGAAGGTAACAGCAAGTGTTGTTGTACAAAAAACTATACAACAGCCACATGGAAATTTGTTATTGTAAGTTCTACTAGTGTCAATTCATTTGAAAGAAAAATGTAAACAAACAAACAAATTATCATCAAACTATTTTTAATTTTGAAAATGAAATATTTTCGAATCCTCAAAATAAAAATTGAAAAACATGAATGAAAATGTATCAAATTTATATTTCTATCGCTTCCACATCTTTCCTATAATTGAGCCATTGCCACTTATATGTGTAACACATATGAAAATGCTGGGAATAGCGAGTTATTCCTTGAAGAAAGATTTGCTTCCTCAAACTTTCCTAGCAGGCAGATTGAGTAAATTGAATACAAGAGCACATTTAATAAAGAACAATTTCAAATTGTATGCGTTCCCAATTTTCCTGTTTGGTGATTTTTAAAAACATAATTTGTCAAATTCATATTGACACTAGTATTACGTTGGAATCAAATCAGCTGGGATTTGCTGTTACCTTTTATAATTGTACCATGAGGGCATACAAAAACTGCTAGTAGACAATTTACAGAAAAGTACATTGGTGTGTGGCAATAACTTTGCAACCAAAGCCCAATAAACCCAATGGAAGCGTTCAGAAAAAATACTGAAAGAAGCACCCTTCGTTTCGCCAAATGTGAAGATTTTGTTCACTTCTTACCATAAGGTAGGACGATCAATGTGGTTTGCCAGTTAATGAGTTAATACCAAATTATTGGGTAAATACTCAAAATAGGGGTACCTTTGTATGGGGGCTACCAGCAAAGGTAGACATACATATATACATTTTTGAATGGACATTTGGTACCCAAAGAGAACCCTCTGTGCCAAATTACTGCCAATTTGGACGCAAAATGTTTCTAATAGACAAATAATACCTTAAATCGGAAGATACGGTTATATGGAGGCTATATCAAAACTTGGACCCAGCGACCCCATTTTCCATTTCAATATTACCTTGTAAGCAACATTTTGGCCGCCTATGTCAAGTGGTTCGGCAGTTAATGAGTTTATACCCAATTTTTGGTAAATACTAGGGTATTTACCCACGTCTTTAAAGTATCGTAAAACTATCCATTCTAAATCGATTTGATAACAGAAACCCGGAAATTGGGTGTAAGATGTTGTATTACCGATTCAATAAAGTAAATACTTGGGTATTTACTCGGTAAATGCCATCTCTACCAATTAGGAAAACTATCTTCACAAAACAATGCCTTAGAAACATGAAGAATTTAATGCGTGAGTATTTGAACCAAAATAAAATGAGCCCCTCTTCCCAAAACTGAAGATACCGATGAAAAGTGCAGATAGGTATTGCGATGCAGGAGGTATTGGCTGTACCAAAAAGCGCGCTTCTATCGGTTATTTTTTTGATCAGACCTAGGCTATACTTGTTCTCCGATTACTATTTCGAGGTGTTGCAAACTGAACCACAGCACTCAACCTTAATCAACTCCCTCGATTTTCGTAAGGACTACCTTTACATAAAAGACAATAATGCTTTAGATTTAATTAAATTAAAATATATTTTCAAAATTAAATTTTAAACTATACCTCCGACACAAATTAAATCACAAAGTCTACAACATTTTTGGCAGTTTTAAGTGTTTACAATTTATTTACAGTATGTATGTAAAACTTTTCTCAGAAACACATGATCATGATGATGATGACAATGATACTATATGAAGTACAGACATTTACATACAGATATACATCAAAAACAAAGTTTCTAATTGCATCAATTCAAAATTGATAGTTGCCAAAGATACTCCTCGGACAAGTTTTGAATTCCAAAAAAATAAAAATCTTTGTTTTTCTTTTGAATTGCCGTTTTTTGCAATTCTTTCTTCTGTTTAATTTGATTTCGTATATGTGTGGACTTAAAAAATAAACTTTAAGCTTAGTGTAATATATTTTAGTTTGTGTGACATACCAGCATGTACGCATAAATACATATTAGCACACATACACTCAAATAAAACAAATAACTTTTGGAGATTCACTTTTGTTTTTTGTTATTTTTCGGGGGAAGTTCATTGTGGAAAGAAAAAACAAAACTATTCAAATGTTTATTCATTCAATGAAACCATTTCAGATTTTCAGGGAGACCAACATCTAAGCATATCTACAATTAGACTTCACTTCACTTTCCCCTGCATTCGTATATTTTGTAAAATACATTTATGTGAATGTTGATGAGAATGTACGTAGTCGTATTTATGTGTGCATGTTTGATTCTTTGTTTGTTTATTCATATAAAACAAACTACATCCGTTTCGTTCGTTCGGGAATTTTTGTGTGTGTTTTTTTTTTCTTTTTTCGCAAAAGTTTTCGTTGTTTATGAATTCCAAAACTCGTTCGTTCGCCCGCTCGCTCTCTCCCCCGTTGCCTTTTTTACATATGAAATTGGTTTTATTGTCGGTTGAGAGGTTCAATTGCCACTTGGCGTTAGAAATGTTGCTGCTGTAACCACTGTCATTGCCGCTACTGTTGCCGCCAAAAGTTTAGCTGCCGCTGCTGTTGTTTCAACTTTATTCAAAACCAAAAAAAAAAAAAAAGCATAAATAAATCAAAAAAAAAAGTTTCCCAAATAAATGTTGAGAGTGTATTAAACTGTGCTACCAATAATTACAGAAATATTATTTTCATTCTGTGGGCTTATTGTAACTTTGTGTAGCCACACATATTGGACCACTTCTTACATTTTGTATACTGATCATATTTTATACCGCAACACATGGTTGCGGTATATTCCACATATGTTTACGAAAATTATCCAGACTCTATCTCATATATAGCAATCTCTATTCTTGCAGATGAAGTAATTGGGCGCCATGTCAGGGCTGCACGGCCCTGAATGGTGGAATTTATGGATCACCCATAATTTCCATCATTAGCATTATTTTGGATTCCAATGATTCGCCACCTTTTGCTCGTTTTTGGAAGTGCTTCACCCACACTGAATTGGTTGAATTATCAATAATCTCAAATAACGGTTCAGTCCCTTTTCGGCATTTTTATGGTTTCAGGCGCAATATCTCGCTCACCTTTTAGGTATTCTTTAGCCAGAACCCATCCTAAATGCAAAATTTCGCTACGATTGGTTTATAACTCTTCGGGCTTCACAAAGCTATAATAACCTGACAACATATTTCTATAGGGTATAAAAAGAAATATATAGTATAATAGAAATAATAGAATATATAGAATAAATAGAATCACATTCAGAATGGATATACGAGTATACATGTCCGTCCGTCTGCCTGTCTTTGTACAGCATTTATGATCCGAATTATATGAAATTTGGCACATCTCGTTGGCCCTAGGACGAACCCTATTAAAATTGGTTTGTCCGATTCCACAATAATTCTATCATGTCATAATGTTTGTTCGATTGAGACAAAATTAATGTAAAGTCCTGTTAAAATCGATTCAGCTTCCATATACAGGGTGAGATGAAAAAACTGCAATCAACCTCAGACTGCTGTCATTTCTAAGCCACTCGTCCGACAGCTTTTAAAGCATTTTGGTAAAAATTTTCCAGAAAAAAATATTCGTGATGGAATTCAAGCGTGATAATGTGATTTCTTTATATTTGGCTGGAAAACTACAAGCGGCTATCGTTAAAGTACTCCAGCATTTAAATGTGAATAAATCTTCTGTGTCTCGTACCATCACTCGTTGCCGTGATGCTGGTATCATAGCCCGACGTCAAGGAAGTGGACGGAAGAAAACAGCAACATCAGCTGAAATGGTTCGAAAAGTAAAGAAGTGACTTGATCGAAACCCGCGTCGCAATGACCGAAAAATGGCTCGTGAGCTGAACATATCGCAATATTCCATTCGGCAAATATTGAAAGTAAAGCCATTGAAATTCCAAAAAAGTGCATGAACCTACGCCGCAAAGAAAATAGACTCAAAAGAGCTAAAGAGTTGTTTCGCTTGGCCGAAAGTGGTAAACTGTCGAATTAGGTTTTCTCCGATGAGAAAACATTCATTGTCCAGCAGTTTGTAAACAAACAAAATTATCGTGTTTACTTACCAAAGAGGTCAGCTAAAAATGTGCACCTTCGTTTGGCCACCAGAACTCAAGGCCACCATAACAGCTGATCGTCGCTCTCCGCTCGTATTAATGGACCGTGTCATCAGAATTACTGCCGAATATTATGGCGAAAATAAAGTCTTGGACACGTAAACATTTTGGCCGCAAACTTTGGACATTCCAACAGGACTCAGCACCATCGCACTCAGCACGCGTCACCCAAGAATGGCTACAAAATGAGGTTCCTCGCTTCATATCCAGCGCACAATGGCCACCAAAATCTCCGTATACCAATCCGTTGGACTATTGTGTCTGGAGTATTTTGGAAAGCAAGGTTGGCACTAAAAAATGTGTCGATCACCTCAAGCAAGCGCTTCGCCGGGAATGGGCCAAAATACCGCGGAGCAACATTCGGGCAGCGTGTGACGGTTTCATTGTCCGCTTGAAGGCCATATTTCGTGCAAAAAGTCACCAATTCGAACAAATCTGAACTTATTCTAAAATTTTATGCTATTTCCGACATTTATTGCTTTCATTCAATAAAATTAAAAAAAAACATTAAAATTTATGGCTTTGGACTTTGTTGCAGTTTTTTTTTCTCACCCTTTATATTTTCGTTCGATTTTATGTAAATGATTGACACAAAATTGTGCACAACGTACCGCAATGGGTAATTTATGGCGATGTTTTTCTCAGCGTTCCTAATTAAGACTTAAATAATTGAGTTTTATTGGAATTAGTTCAGATTTAGATAGAGCACCCATATTTATTTTTGACCATTTTCATGTATATTGTTCGCCAAATAACCAAACTATGTCAAAATAAGATGCAATTTTGCATAGTATTCCCGATTTAAGTCTTCGCGATTGAAATTAAATTTTGCATTTCCGAATGAAATGTGTAAGTAGTGACACATATAGAACAATATCACATATCTAGTTTCGTCCGCTTTAAGTTAAGTTAATTACAACTATTGTCGTGATTGCTGATCGCACGAAATTGTTCGCAAGTTAATCAAATTTTTCAGTAAACTAATGTTTCATTTTACTGAAAACAACGCAATAAAAAAACAAAATTTGCAATGCTAAGATCAGAAATATGTATAGTAGTTCACGTAAAACCTCATAATGCGTCTTCACTACGAAATCCATTTTTTATGCACTTGAAATGTGCATCTACTATGTTTTCCAGCACTTCCACGTTCTAAAAACAAGTCAAACTGTGTAATTTCTGGTGGCAATTTGTTTTTACATACATATATTCCCAGCTTAGCTCGTGCATACTACTTTCCACAAAATTACAAAAAAATGCAACAAAACAAGCAACACAAATAAAATGTTTTTCAGCTTTTTTTTTTATTTTTGTTTTCTCATAATAAAAATAGAAAATATTACTCGAGTTAAGTTTTAGTTGCTGTCGTCGATGACATTGTTACCCGGCCATTCCTCCTCATTTACAACCTCTAGCAGATACAACAACAACTACTACAGTCGCTGCTACAATTGGTGTAGTTTTTGTTGTTGTTGTTGGTAGAACGACAATGACCGCATTCAGTGTGCCACAAGAACATCAGGTGCAAATGTTATTCCGCTGGTGTTTCCAAAAACTAAATACAAACGTGTTCAAGTGGAGATTAACAAAAACTACAACAATTGCAATTTCTGTTTCTGCTTTGTGTTCCAATTGGATTTTATGTCGCCACACCGCCACAATACACCCCGGCTGCAATTTAACATTAAACTATGCAACAACGACAACACTGCATCCTCCGACCTTCCTCAACCCCCCGGCACCCAAACCAAATGGTAGTTGGATTGGCTGCTGTAGTCAATTCAGCCGCCAGAGAACATTCAACACTCGAAAATGTCTTTCTGCGAATTGTGGTGGAACAATTGTTGTGTGTTAAATTCAATGCTGCTACTGCTACTGCTGTTGTTGCAATCGCATTTGGGAGTAACCGCAGTGCTTACTTTTCGGCGCTTACTAGCGTAAATTGTAATAAATTTAAATGTATAGTTTATTGTTAGTGTTGTCGTTGTTGTTGTTAGTTAGTTGCATTCTCGCATAACCTCATTTATGCTAATCCTCTCATCGTTTCTGTTTTTTTTCGTCTTCACCCCAACACCTCTGGAACAGCTGTAACTGGAGATGGTATCCAATGAGTAATGAACTGGTCGGACGTGCGCTTGTTACATGGCATTGCCATTTAATACCCCAACACTAATGAGATATGGGATGTTCGGTGTATAGATGGGATTTATCCTGATTATTATTATGTGGCAAATGAAATTGGAGTTTGTTCAGTGCATGTATATGTAGTTAGGAGCATGGTGTATGTAATAAATTTGGGACATTTGGGAAAATTTAATCTATAATTTAAAATCTATTCGAATAAATATTTTATTAATGACAATTGTAGAAATTATAACCCAATAGGAAAATAAAAAAATATAAAATATGGTTATAAATTGGGTTGAGCTAATTCGTAGTTAACACGAATTTGACATTGGTTCATAGTCAATAACAAAACCAGTAAGGAAAGTAGTAAAGTCGGACGGTGCCGACTATATGATACCCTTCACCACTATGGGTATATTAAACAGGACTATTAGCATGAAATTGGATGAAATAAAATATGTGATATTTATCTAAATGTGAATCAACGTAGATCTATCCATAAAGTATGTAAATCGACTTCAAACAAATATAAATAGGTCATCCGTTGGGCTATGTCTGTACTTCTAGAAAACGCAACTACATAATTCTATGCTCAATTTTGTACGTTGTGCAAAATTTGATGTCAAACTGACTAACATGAGGAGTTGATCTATCCAAATATTAAGCGATTTTAAACAAACTTGTCACAGGTTAGTTTATACTAATTCAGAACGTTTTGTTCCTATTGGTTCCTTGGTGCGTCAGTTACTCAAAATCAATCTATAATAAAAGGGAGCTATATCTAAATCTGGACCGATTTTCACGAAACAACGCAGACATCACTCTAGGCTCAATTCAGTACGTTATGCCAAATTTTGTGCAAATCAAAAGATATATAGGGACGTTGGTGCACCATTTACATTAAATCGGACGAAACTATATGTGAGAGCTACATAGAAATCTGGACTGATTTTCTCGAAACTTGGCAGACATCACCCTAGGCTCAATTCAGTACTTTATGCCAAATTTCGTGCAAATCGAAGGATATATAGGGACTTTGGTGCACCATTTACATGAAATCGGACGAAACTATATATGGGAGCTACATCTAAATCAGGACCGATTTTCATGAAACTTGGCAGACATCATTCTAGACATAAATGATTTTGCTGTACCAAATTTCGTGCAAATCAAAAGATATATAGGGACTTTAGGGCACCATTTACATGAAATCGGACGAAACTATATGTGGGAGCTATATAGAAATCTGGACAGAATTTCTCGAACCCTGGCAGACATCACTCTAGGCTCAATTCAGTACGTTATGCCAAATTTCGTGCAAATCGAAGGATATATAGGGACTTTGGTGCACCATTTACACGAAATCGGACGAAACTATATATGGGAGCTATATCTAAATCTGGACCGATTTTCTCGAAACTTGGCAGACATCACTCTAGGCTTAATTCAGTACGTTATGCCAAATTTCGTGCAAATCAAAAGATATATAGGGACTTTGGGGCATCATTTGCATGAAATCGGACGAAACTATATATGGGAGCTATATCTAAATCTGGACCGATTTTCACGAAACTTGGCAGACATCATTATAGGCCAAAATGATTAGACTGTACCAAATTTCGTGCAAATCGAAAGATATATAGGGACCATTTACATTAAATCGGTTAAATATATATATGGGAGCTATATCTAAATCTGAACCGATTTTTCCCAATTTCAATAGGGCCGTTGGGCCGAATAAGTGACCTATGCAAAATTTCATCTAACAACTGGACAGACAGACGGATGGACGGACGGACATGCATAAATCGACTTAGAAAGTGATTTTTGCCTGTTACAAACATACGCACAAAGACATAATACCCTGTACCGCAGTGTGGTGAAGGGTATAAAAACGGAGCCAAAACCTGTAAGGAAAGTAGTAAAGTCGGACGGGGCCGACTATATGATACCCTTCACCACTTTGAGTATATTCAACAGATGAATCCTAACAGACGTCGCATTTTTAAAGGACCAGTAAAATGAAATTGGAACCATAAACACGTCATTCTGCAACCGATACTAAATTGTTCATTTGGTCAGATATAGAAGCCATATCTAAACCTGAACCTATTTCGGGAAACTTGACACACATCTAGACCTAATTCATTACTCTGTGCCAAATTTAGTGCAAACCGAAATATATTAAGGGACTTTGGTGCTCCCTTTACATTAAATCGGACGAAAATATATATGGGAGTTATATCTAAATCCGAACCGATTTTAAGGAAACTTAACACACATCATCCTAGACCTATTTCATTACGCTGAGCCAAATTTAGTGCAAATCGAGAGATATATAGGGACTTTTGTGCACAATTTAAGGGTGAAGGGTATAAAAAGAATTTGGTTCAAGAACCCCAAAATACCGAAAATTGGTGAGTACCCTTATGTGAGGGCTACGAGAAAAAAGTGACCAATATTTATAATATATAGTGTAGAGATGTGCTACCTAATAAGAACTCGACGTCAATTCGGTCAAAAAATGCAGAACCCCCAAAATACCAAAAATTTGGGGGTACCGTTATATGGGGACTACCAGAAAAACTGGACATATATTTATAATTTTTAGTGGAGTAATTTGATACACAATATGAATCCAATGTACAAAATTTCCGAGAATTCAGTTATAAAAGGAGCCAAAGAACCTGAAAATACCGAAAATTGGGGAACCCTTATATGGGGGCTTTTCGAAAAAATGGACCTTTATTTATAATTTTTGGTAGGGAGATTTGCTACCCAATAATAACTCAAAGTACCAAATTTCAGCGAATTCAGTTAAAAACGCGCTCAAGAACCTCAAAATACCGAAAATTTGGGGGTACCCTTATATAGGGGCTATCCGATAAAATGGACCTATATTTATAATTTTTGGAAGGGAGATTTGCTACCCAATAAGAACATAAAGAACCAAATTTCAGCGAATTCGGTCGAGAAATGCTATCAAAACCCCCAAAATACCGAAAATTGGGGGTAATCTTATATGGGGGCTATCCGAAAAAATTGACCTTTATTTATAATTTTTGGTAGACAGATTTGCTACCCAATAAGAACTCAAAGTACCAAATTTCAGCGAATTCGGTTGAAAAACGCGCTCAAGAACCTCAAAATACCGAAAATTTGGGGGTACCGTGGACCGATTTTCTTCAATTTCAATAGGGTTCGTCCTTGGGCCAATTAAGTGACCTGTGCCAAATTTCATTCAAATCGGACCATAAATGCGACGTGTACTTGTTAACAAAAATATATGGACGGACAGACGGACGGACATGCATAAATCAACTCAGAAAGTGGTTCTATGCACATTTTCAAAAGGAACCATGGGTCTATCTCCATTATTTTTGCCT